AATAAATGCATATACAAACAAACAAACAAATAAATAAATGATAAGGTAAGATATGAAAGAAAAAATATAATCTTTTTATTTGAGTAGCTTTTGTTACCTGAAGGCAGAAGAAGAGGGGTTGATGGGGCCGATATGGCTCGGGCTGAAATGTTGTCCTCTACATAAAACTGTGCCGTTTGAAAGCACCTTCTGTAAGATACAGATGGAAACATTAAAATATTTGCTTTTTACTTTATGAGACTAAAAAATAGAATAAAGAGAATTTAATCCGAAACTTACAAGTAAAATGCAGACATACAATACAGTAATGAAAATTGTGGAAAATGTGCCTGATTGTCATAAAATGCTGCTGAAAATTTCTCGACACAATTTTTTTAAATTAGATTTTGCGTCAAATGTGACTGGACATGTTTTCCTGAGTTTTTAGCACAGATGCACGTGGCACACGTAATCTCAAAGCAAACATTGACATACTGTCTGAAGATGTCATACCTCCAGTAGATGAGAATCCCCACCAGCACCAGCAGACACAGGACAGTGAGTGTGGAAACCACAGCCAGAGGAACAACCGTCCTCTTCTCCTTCTCTCTACCTCCCACCATCCCGACACGAGACTCCGGACTGCTGTTACTCGCCTCTGATGATGGAAACAGGAGCAAAACAGTTCTTAAATACATTACACGATATTCGGCACATTCAAGGAGCTACAAAAATGCAACCAAATAATCCAACTGCTAACTCATTAAGAGCCGTAAAAAGCAGTCATGTTTTCATTCTCCAAATGTTGTTTTGACATCATTCGTGAGTTTTACCTGCGTTCTGGTCTTCCTCTGACTCTTGGACAGTGAGTTCAGGAATTATGAGCTGTATGGGAATATCATCGCTTTGAGAGATCACTGACCCTCCTTGACCAGAGCCAGTGTCAGAGTCAGCTGACCAGGTCACCCATGACAGAAACGCCTGGTTCTCTGGTTCTTCGGTGGTGGCTGCCTCTCGCTCGCTCTCAAAGTAGAAAGTAGAGGACAGTCCCTCTCTGTTTTCGTCTTCAGATCTACCGCTGTAGCTCAGATGGGAGTCTTTGAGAGCCGACCGGGTTTGGTCGAGCTCCCATTCCCGGTCGAGCTCCTCCAGGAAGATCGCGGACCCCGATCCGCTGAATTCTCCTGAAGAAGGAAGATGAGCAGAGCCCTCCTCCAAAATAGTGGTTGAGGATTCATAGAGATTTGAGGCATCATGAACCACTGATACCTTCTGATTATTGAACGATGTGGCTGTAACGAACACGTCTGAAGAGTTAAGACTTCCAATCTCCTCTAAAGAACCGTTTATGGCTGAGGAAAGAAGCCCTTGGAAGTACTAATCTTTATCTACATTTTTCTTGCAATACCTAAAGCCCTCACCAAGGGGGAGCCATCACTACGCAAAGAAGGTAAAGATTGAATGCACAGGAGCAAGAGAGGAACCACCACCATGTTCGACATCTAAAAAGTGAGCAAACCAGCCGAGAAGAGAGAGTCCAGCAGGTGCATTACAAGCTTTTCTTGAGTATTTGTGGCACAGACAGCAATCAAGTTTTTATTCCATATATACGGTAGCAATTGCACCACCATCACCGTGAGCGTTTCTGAAAATTTAAAGGGATAGTTTATGTATGACCTGTATGACCTGTATGAGTTTCTTTAACACAAAAGAAGATTTTTTTGAAGAATGTTGGCAACCAAACAGTTAATGGTAACCATTGAAATCCATAGTATTTTTTCCATACTATGGAAGTCAATGGCTACCGTC